TTTCGGCCCTACACCTAGCCAATGTGGGACTATTTGTTTGACAGCAGCCGCTTTTGAACGGGGAAGAAGGGACATTTGCTTAAGACAGAGCCTGTCACCTCCCAAAAAGTCCTTATGGAAAGAGCCCTTATGGGTGGTGGGCAGCCCAGCCCAGGACTTAAATACTGCTTTTCAGTCCTACACCTAGCCAATGTGGGACTATTTCAATTCCATGAAGGAGAAATATTTGATTACCTAGGCCGTGCTCATAGGAGGGTCCACGTTATACTCTCTAATGTCCTTATAATCTACCTATTAACTTATGTTATACTTTCTGTGATGCCCTTATAATTTACCTATAATTTATCTCTAACTTAGAAATATATGAAAATAGAAGCGCACAACTTACTATAAGTAGATTACAGCAAGTTACAGAAGTATAGCGCAGATATAACCCCCAATATCCTCATTAAACCTACTAGACTTAACACGGTTTTGCTTAGGTCTTACGTACTCAAAGGGCAACGATGATTCATTCATTCGAGCAAAGCAATTATTTCATTTTATTTATATAATATTTTTTGATATTTTTTTAAGAAGGAGAAAATTAATAAAAAATTAATAAAAAAATATTTTAAAATAAACAATCCCACCCAACATCTTCATGTTGGTCTCTTGCATGATTAGGCCTGAAAGCAACTCCACGTTGGTCTCTTGACCTTGCATGTAACTTACCTTAATGACATTTTAAGGAAATCATTTAAATTTAAGAATAATATTTTGATAAATATATAATTTATTTTTATGAATGATTTTTTTAATCCAAAGTAATTTAGATGAAATGAGAGACATTTTTATGTAAATCATATAAAATTTTATAGTAATGAACAAGACAGTTTTGAGAGAGAGTTGAAATTGCATTCCATGGTTGTGTACACTCGCTACTGCTTAGTACATGTTTAATTATAATTATGTTTGCTTAGGAAATTTGGACTCCCTCCCTAGAAAATTTATTTCATTTTTTAACATCAATTTGCATCTAAAGTTTCAGAGCTTTAAGATTACACTTGCAACTAATATCTTGAAAGTGTATGGAGTGAATCCTTCCTAATGTTATAACAAAATTTAAAAGTTTGGGTGCGTTTGCGGGCGGGCTGCAAGGTTTGGCCCACGGTCTGAGTTTAGTGTAAAAACTCAAACGCGGTTCTAGATAAGCTGACGAAACGCACGAACCAAACGGTACGGCAGCGTTTCCGCACTTATAAGCTGCCCCAAACGTGCCCTTAATCACAAATTAAAATCGAACCAATGAATCCAAATTTTAAGGCGTTGCAAGATAAAATCAAACCATATATTAATTGATTAACTATCATCATGTCAAATTAAAGTTAATAAAATTTAAAATTTCACAAAATTATTAATCTAACATACTTGAAACAACTTAAATGAAAAAATAAAAAAAAAATACACTAGAAATTACAAAGCAATTTATGAAGACAACTCAGTCAACCATTTCATTGGCAAATGACCCCTATTTTATTTATACTTTCCACTCATTCTTTTACAAAATAAAGTTTAACAATTTATCCTCTAAAATTTGTCCACAAAACAAATTAGTTTGCTCATTTTTTTAAGCATTTGATTAGAAACTAAAATACGAAATATTGTTAAAACATCATGAATTCATACATTATTTCATTTGGACAGCAGTTTAGTTTATTTTTTTATTAAACGAATTATTGTTATAAATATTATATGGTTTTATTATTAAATATAGCCATTAAAATTTGACCTTCACCACTACCCAATTGAACATTTTTTTCTACTTCCATATTTGTTTCGATGCTTACAACTTATTAAGAAAAGATTAATTGATGAGCACACAAGCAAATGTAACTCAGGATCTGTTTGGGGCAGCTGCAACTTATTGAATAATCTGCTGATAAGCCGATTAAAAATAATATACTGACAAACAAGGTGCAATGAATATTATAAATTTTTATTTTTTTTTGGAAAAAATCAAACCGCAACAAGATAGCTGCCTCCGCACCTAGATAAGTGCAATGTGAAAACGCTATTTTCAGTATTTTAAAAACGCATAAACTGTCAAAACACACTTTACCCAAACAGGTCAAGTACATTTTCAAGACACAACCGCACCAAATAAACTGCCCCAAACAATCCCTTAGTGTTTTTCCATGCCATCCTTATTAGCTTAATCTCAATCATATGAGTATTCTTCTTTAGTCTCATTTCCATTCACTTTTACTGAATATTCCATTCATTTGTGCTAAATATTGTATAAAAGTTTAACCTTCTTTTAAACTTTATTTCTATTTATATGATTACCCCTTCTCCTTTTAATCCTTCAAAAACCAGCCTTTAGATCAATTTTTGCCATATTTTATTTCATTGAGTGATAAGATGAAAGGCAACAAGTACCATAACAGCAACAGAATATAAGAATGAGATTTATATTTCAAATTGATGAATGATTGAATTCCTTAAATAAAAACAAAAAATAATTCCTTGAATAACATTCCATGGTTAGTATTCCTACAATAATTCACACGGGGAAGAAAAAGACAACGACGACGACGACGACAATAACAACAACAAAACCTTAATCCCACTACGTGGTGTTGGCTACAAGAATCATTTTTCTCCATTGCGTCCGATGTAGTAAAATGATAAAACCAGAGAATAGAGTTTAACACGGAACAAAGGAAAAAAATGTTTTAGGAAGCAAAAGAGGAAAACAAATTAAAAAAAAAAGCTAATTTCACAAGGCCACAAAGTAAAAAATTTATCATGAGTTGTTGTTGAAGAATAGCAGTCTTATCAAGAGAGCAACTTAAAAGCGGAAGCTCTATTATGGTTTATCAGTAGCTGGCTGACGCATAAAAATCCCCATCATTTCGCACAGGAGAATAAGAACCCCTTGAACTCCCAGAGAATCTTCGCACCCTTCGTACCAACGAGCCTATCAAGTTCTGCAGGAGCCATTGTTATAATGATAATAATAAACAAAACATATTTGAATACTTAAAATTAAAACCAAGATTTTAGCTTGAAAATCGAAACTTGCTCCAGGATTAAATTGATTTTGTGGCGGAACGTTAAAATAGACTCTATCTAATCTTGCAGCTTCTTTAAAGTTAAATCAAGATCAAAGTTAATTGTTTCAAAAAATAACTAAAATATATATATTTTTTATTTTTTTTTAATATATGCATTTGTGTGAGTATAAGGCTCAAGATCAAATCCATTTGATCCACCAGCCAATTTCAAACCACCTGATATGTTGGGCTAAATCAGAGCAGACAATGAATCAGCTCAAAATCAGATCATTATCACCATTAAAGGCAATGTAGTGCAAAGCTGCCCACAAAATCACCAAATTTTGATTAAACGTTATTAGTTCTGAAGGATGATGTAGAACCAATTCAGGTTTGATCAAAATGTTTGAACAGTACAAATCAATATAGATGGCATAATCCGGAGCATTTTTAGATGGAACACGTGAAAAGAGACTTGCACAAATTCAATAGGCCATTACAAGATTTCAAAATCAAAAGATAAAGGATAGCTACTTACCCTGGTTCTTTGAGGTATACTGAGCCAGAACTCCAGGTTTGGAATTGCCTGAAACAAATAAATAAATTAGCATCCTACTAACAGAGGAGTAGTAGCAGATTTGGACCATTAAACGCATCTATCTTCATTGTTTGCAAGACAACTACACAGGTGAGCTAATTCAATAAAATAACATGTTTTCAATCAAATAAATTAACCAGACTGGAATTTTAGATAACATATAGTTAGATGAGCCAACTACAGGTTATAATTAAGCAGGCTTGGGAAGAAAGATCAGAGTGTGCAAGCATAGTTAGGGCTTGAAAGTCAGACATGCTTTTTATAATGGCCAACCAAAATTATAACATAACATAATGTTTTGTTACAATCAAATTTTCATGGGTGAATAAAATGTATTCATTGGCGAGAAAAGTATCAAAATGGTCCTGTTAACACATTGTCAGGATTCATTTTAGTCTCATATTCTATAGAAGTGTCAATTTAGTCCACAAACAAGTAGTCCTTGGGGACTATTTCAGCCATACTAATTTTACACTTTTATAGACTCTGGGACTAACCCATGTAAATAGTAAAGGGATATTTTGACACTTTACACATTCTTTAATCTTATTGAACATACACACCTAAAAGCAGTCAACTATAATTGGGTACAAGATATTAGAGTAAGCCCCAAGTCAAATGGACAATAAATTATAGCCTCACTCACTAATTCACGTACGTTAAACTTGATTATGTGATTGTTCCCTCCCCTTTCTCTCACTCATGCATAAAAAATTCTTTATCTGATTTTCACTCGCTCATGCATATAAAGTTTCATTATGTGATTTTTTTAGTTATGCATCAATCAAATAAATTAATAAAATGAATGGTATGAATGTATAGTATAAAAGACCTTGCAAAGTTATTTACCATGCAGTTCAAACTACCGTAAAAGCAAGAACACGATGTCTTTTGGATGGATAAAACTCAACAACTTAATTTTAGAAGCATCCTCGAGATTTTTATTTTACACAAAAAGCCTATATCCCTTCACATTTATGATCCTTACATATGGAGTTCCATCTTCTCGCAGCAGAAACAAAAATCCTGATTCCACCAATAAAGAGAAGAAAAGAGATGAAGTTTAAATTTCGATTTAGTGAAAAACATTTTGATAATGAAAATTTTGATCCAATTATTGATCCAATTAAAATGATACTAGTGAAAAACATTTTGATAATGAAAATTTAACTTCAGGACAAATTGAGAAGGCATCAAGAAAAGTTAATTAAAAGTTGTTTTTAAGATTTAGTTAAGTCAAAACGATAAGAGGTTCATCCAAACTGACAGCTATTTCATCTCAAGCTTTTGTCATTCAAGAAAGAAGATGAGATTGGCTTGCAAGAAGAAAACACAAATTTTAAAAGATAAAGAAATTCTACTTGAAGAAAAAAAGAGATTATGTGAATGAAAGAGAACAAGATAACTAATATTTTCAACTTACTTCAAGAGACAAAAAAATTTAAGCATTAAAACTAATTTTTACTGAATAAACATATCTTTCAAGAACTTTAAATTATTTGCATCATATTGTTGTGCTAATGAAATATTATTTTTGATAGAGGTTCTTAGAAAATTCAATTTAGAGTTTTATTTTCAAAGTTTCTTTTCAAAATTAGATATTTACATCATATTTATTTTTCAATTTCATATTAAGTTTTAATATATTTTACTAATAATCCATCTGTAACTATTATTGAATGTATCGTTGTACTTGTTAAAAATTATTACATTAAGTGATTTCTATTTAAATAAATAAATGTTTACTACATGCACAACACACACACACACACACGAATGCACATAAGATATATAAGTCATGATAATTCTAGTTAATAAAAGCAGAATATTGCATTGCACTTTGCACATTGAATCAAATGATGAACTTTAAGCATCGCATTGCACTTTCAAAACACTGATCTTAATGCCTAGACATACCATTACAGTATTTAGTGACGACGCAATCAATTTGAAAAAAAAAAAAATCAATGACAATTGCACTTTTAGTATCAATTAATTCAACTCGACAAGCAACATCTATAATTTAGAGGACAAAAGTAAGTATTACAAGCACCATCAACGCTTATTAAAGTTACACAATTCTCAACCCTTGAAGGTTTTGAGAACTAAGGAAGCTTGATTGGCAGAGAAGATAAAGGAGATCCAAAACTTTTTAAAATTCTAACTCAATAATTTTGGTGAGATAAGCACAAAACTTAAATAAATGGTCTACATGCCAAATGCAAATTAAATTTTTGTTTTAAATAACATCAATGTAAAAAATTGCTGCAAAAATTATTAATTGGATTCATAAAATAGATTTGAAATGACCTTAAACTCTTATTGGGTGGCATGTGGGTATGCTTAAGTGAAAGAATTAAAGAGAATTTTGGCACCTAGTACTAGTCGGTTGCTGTTAATAGAAAGACAGTGGTGGTCATGCACAATTCCCTCACACAAATTGTTTCAACTTATGTGAAAACCCCCATCAAGTTGTAATTGAATTGAATCAAATTGAGTATATCATAGGTTGGACTTGACTGGGTCAAATCACAATTTATTCATGTTCAATTCTGGCTTGAGCCAAGCTTAAGCATATATGCTCATACTTGCTTATTTTTTTAATGATGATAATTGATTTATTGTTGGCTTGTTTATATTAACTGAACAAGCTAACATTTTGAATAAATTTATATTAATTGAACAGCTAACATTTTGAATAAATTGGAACAAATAAAACTGTCAATACTATCAATGAAACACCAGAATTAAAAGTATTTATAGTCCAAATCCTAATTCTAACTTGTTCCACTCATGCATATGATAGAAATTGAAGCATGCTTAACCAAGTGCGTACAAAGAGATAAATAATTTGGCAAAGAATAAATTGGTTCATGCATGCAGAATATGAATTTAAAAGATAGATACAAAAGATTAACTTCATGTAAAGATAAAGATGATCCTTTCAATCTTGATGAATTGTCAACAAAAGATGAATAGATAATTAACCAAGATAAGGAGAAAAGAAAATGATGCTAAATAAGATGATGATGAAGATATTGATATTTTTATTGCTAACATAAAAAAAACTTAACGGAACATCTCAACGATCCAACCAAACACAAGAGTCAAACATCAAACATCTCAAGAGGTTGAAAAAGTACATTCATAATGAAATATGTAATAGATTTTTATTTATTATTTCTTTGTTATGAGTATCTTTATTATAGTAATGTCGAAGTAAAAAAGAAGAAAGGATAGAATTGGGTGAAAAAGAAAATGAATGGAATGCCCCATAGAGAGTGATGGAGGGTATTAGATATCATGATGATTCTTTAAAGGATCCAACTAGGAATGATATTAATAATGACGTTGATTTTAAGCTATAAAAGACTTCACTTAGAATATAGTTCTATCCTAAGTTATTAATTTTATATTATTTTCTGAACTGGGAATTTATATTCAATTCCTTATAAAGTTTGGGTGCTAGCTTGTAATGTGTCTTTTATGAATTAAGATTTTACGATTTTTTTTTTATGAAATTGCCTCGTTTCCTGATATAGTTTTTTTAAACATAAGTCAAATCAAGTAAAAATTAGTGCCTTCATGTGTTGTGGTTAGTCTCCTTAATAATTTTGTAGAGATAATCATATTTAGCCCAGTAAGGCACTTTGGCATAAAAAGTTGTGTTTTTCCTAACACAAAATCGCCACAACTTTTTCTAAAAATCACAAGATTATTAATTTAGATATTAAATTACCCACCTGATGGTGGTATTTAAGTCTAGCAATGTGAATACCATCGATGTACATGCATTATATTTTTCATAATCTCATAGATGTGGTAATTTGCCTAATACATGATGTCTCAAGCGTTTAACAGCAAACACAGGAGGTGCTTCAAAGCTTGAAAAGGCTACTTATTGGATAACACCAGCATCTCTGTAATTGTAATTTTAATCAATGAAAGTACGCCAGCACAATAAAATTCAATTCTCTTTAATTAGGTGATGAAATGGACCAAACTTTACCTGTACACCATGAATTCCAAGGAAGAAGTATCTATAGATAGTTCCCACCAAAACATAGCCTCCCAGAAGGCAAAAGATTCTGCAGAAAAGGCAGTCTCTTCATTATAATATTTTCTTGATAAGGAAAAAAAATAAGAATGATAGCAAGTAATGAAGTAATTTCTAAACGAAATAACTTAGTAGGAAATAATAAACATACATAATCATTAAAGTTCCAAACCACCCCCATCCAGTTTCATTTGCAGAAATGATTTTTGCACAACCAGATGGATGTCTAAGTTCGGTTGCCTGCAGATAAAATCAAGGATGAATGAAAGTACAGCTAACTAGTCTAGGTACTCTATGTTGCATTTCAACTTTTATAGTTCCATTTATAACTTAGGTTCGACAAGATGAATATATAGCAAGTGCAACAATTAACCATGCACCTGAGAAATAAACGCAAGTGTCACAATTGAGAAAAAGGATGTTTAAGCACCTAAAACAAGTACGAATGATAACATAAATTTTTTTAATGTTTTCATATCTCACATTTTATTCAAAAAAAAATTACTAATGTCGTATCAGTGGGAGCAGCAGATCCAGGGATAGCGATTACAATGAGTCATTAACACCAACAGATTGGTACTTTGATAGTTCTAACTGCAATGGAAAAGCTTGGAATTACCAAATCAGAACAAAAATAATTCTCGAGTTGATAGGAGTTTCATTGTAGGGAATAAGATTTAGTCGTCAATATTAGCAAATCAAAGTAGTTGATAAAAAAGCTAGCATAAAACAATGGCAATGATCTTTTGCAGTTGACATAAAACATTCTCTAATGGTTACTGCATCTCTACAGAGCTTTCCAATGGACAGACATGGATTTCGAAACAAAAGTAAATCTAGTGCAGCAATGCTTTCAAATTTTCTGATTAATGCTCAAATCTTCGAGTTTTGTTTAAAGCGTTGCAATTTTTTTTTTCTTGATTGCCAATCACCTAAAATGGCACGTTAGAAAAGGCAATCAATGTTGTGCTGTTAATGACTGGGTTAGCCAACCTGATTAAAACAACTAGCTAGTGAATACTAAGGTGCGACCTGATGACTTGCAATAGTACCAACGTCACTTCAATGGGTTACAGTTATTCTCCTTTTATCTTCTCTACTGAAGGTGCAAGTTAAAATTGAAAAACGAAAAACAAGAAAGCAGACTGACGCGTGATCTTACTGCCTGTAGTACGGTAGCAACTACGACAGTAACTGCACCCCCCACCCCTCCTTCCTATTTAATCCCTTTCCTTCATTTCTTGATGATTTCTCATTATAATTCTTTTCCTTCCCTGCTTCTTTTCTAATACTCTCATTACTTATCATATCTCTTTCCAATCCAACTCTTTACCTATTTTATCTACAAATCCCCTCTTTATATAGTTATTATTTTCAGAGATTACGGAGAGGTTTTATGAGTGCAGATTTCTGAGTGTTGCATCAGAAACATTCCCCTGGGGGTTGTACCCAAGGTGGCGACCGTCTCAAAGGATCCGGGTAGTGCTTCGGCTATAGCTCGACCCCGACAAAAAATTTATCCATCTGCAGCCCCCTCCGGCCCTATCCTAATCTTCCAGTAGCCGCAAACCACTCGACCTTGTCGCCATCTTCATTCGCAGCTGCTGTTCGACATTTCCTGCAGCTATCCTACTGTTGCTTGCCCCGCCAAAACCCTCCCTACATTTGTTTAACGCTTCCAGCAGCTGTCCTGTTGCCGCCAACCCCAACTACACCTTCCTCACAGCTGTTTGACGCTTTCCGCAGTTATCCCTGCACCCTCCAACAACTGCAATCCCTCCCCTACAACCACTATCCATCTTCCATCCTTCTTTCAGCAACCACAAGCATTTTCCATCAGCCGTCAACCCACCGTTCAACAGCCCCAGTCCTAGTTATCACCCGTTTATATCTTTTATTGTTTATGTTGGTTGTGTTTGTTTGTCATTACTTCTTGCTTTTTCAAGTGTCATGTTTGTAATCTACTTGGAATTCAGAAATAATAATTTGTGTTTCTATTGTGGTTTGCGTTTCCTCCGATATCATTTGGCATCACCAAAATTATTCACCCCCAATTCCTATCCTAGGGTTCCTGCAATTTGCCCCCACCAAAAACACCTCATACCAAAATTTTTCTACCGTAAAAGCCTCAATGGATGAAGTTGAGGCTCCCCGACCACAGGAGATTGACGTAGGAGCTTAGCGCCCGCAGACGTGGTTACACTATTCTTGCTTTTTCAAGTGTCATGTTTGTAATCTACTTGGAATTCAGAAATAATAATTTGTGTTTCTATTGTGGTTTGCGTTTCCTCCGATATCATTTGGCATCACCAAAATTATTCACCCCCAATTTCTTTTCCTTTCATATCATTTCCTGATGATTTCTCATTAAAATTCATTTCCTTCTCCACTTCTTTCATGTTCCTCTCCTTGCTTATTATATTTCTTCCCTATCCTAATCTTTACTTATTTTATTTACTAATCCCCTCTTTATATAAGTGTTGTTTTCTGAGGTTAGGGAGGAGTTTTATGAGTGCAGATTTCCGAGTGATTCTTAAAAGGCGTTCTTCCCTTTCCGATGATGTACCCGATGACGAGAAGGTGCTCCCACTGTAACTCGTCTGAAGTGGTGACCATCTCCAAGGATCACGGCAGTACTCCGCCAGTACCTCGACCACAACGAGACATTCCCCCTCCGGCCTCGCTTCCAGCAACCGCAAAACACTCGAGCTTGTTGCCATCTTCATTCCCAAATGTTGTTCGGCATTTCCTGCAAATATCCTTCTACTACCAGCCGCGACAACACCCTCTGTTGCTGTTCAACGCTTCCAGCAGTTGTCCTGTTGCCACCAAACCCGCCGACACCTTCACTACTGTTTGGCAATTTCCGCAGTTGTCCCTGCACCCTCAAACAACCACAACCCCTCCCCTACAGCAACCAACCACCTTCCAACCTTCTTTCAGCAACTACAACCATTTTTAATCAGTCGTCAACCCACCGTCCAACAGCCTCCGTCCTCGTTATCTCCCACGGATCTCTTTTACTATTTATGTTGTTTGTATTTGTTTGATGTTACTTCTTGCTTTTCAAAGTGTCAAATTTATAATCAGTTTGGAATTCAGAAATAATAATTTGTGTTTCTGTTGTGATTTGAGTTTCATCCGATGTCACACAAACTCCATTTCTCAAATCACCAAGTTTCATACCAAGAGAAATGGATTTAATAAATGACCGGCCTCAATAATTTGACCTAACATAAAAACCCAGAGTTTGGGTTAACCCAATTATTATTCGAGTTAGGTTGTGGTCTAAATTACAAACTAAGTTATAATTCAAGTCAAGTTCATGTTCACCCAAAAACTATTTGGGTTAGAGGTAGAGAGGTAGATGGGTTGAGTTGAGACTAATTAGATTAAATGGGTCATATACAAATGTATTGGACTAATTCGATCCCAAAAAATTACTTCATTCATATCATAAACTAGTTGGATGGTCCAAGTTCTAATTAAGCGGGTCGTTAAGCAAATTTGAGTCAAATATTTTCACCTATGAATAAACAAGTCAAATTTAGGCAGGGCATGTGTAGGTCGAATCATACTAGAACTCAACCCATCAGCCCAAATTGACACTGATATTAATAAGTACATATTGAAGTTATTATAGAACTAAATATTATATTTTTCTAATCATCGAATTCAATCGCAACATAAAACAACCTCCAGGTTCCCCCTTTGGCAACAATTGAATAGTTGTCATTGAGGATGTGTAATTTGCTTATTTAATATTAACTATAAGGGCACTTTCTACAAAATGACTCATTTAAGTTATTCTGGACTACTATTGACTATAAATCATGCTATGGGGATTTTAACATCCCTTCATGGAATTGCGGTGTCCATTTCTATCCAAGTTCCCCAAAAATAATAGTCAAATGCAACAATATTTTCAAAAAATCCTAAACGTGCTACCAAAACCACAAAAACCCACTTAAATTCAAATTTTGCCAATCTCCACAAAATTAGCTACAACAAATTAAAAATCAATAACTCAGCACATTAAATAAGCTACTTTAAAATAAAAAATCCTAACAAAAGACTGCATTTCATTTCAAACCATGAACCACTTTATAAACAACCTAAATAATCCACTCCATTTCAATTTAAATTATTAACAATTCTACCATTATTCCTATTTAATTTCAAACAATTTTTCATCCTGACCTAATCCAATCCAACTAGGCTTTCCAAAACTTAGTATGAATCAAACCCAACTTAATACAATAGTGCTTAGAACAAACCAATTGAACCAAACAAACCCAATGAAACTAAGAAAGCGGACCCGACTAATCAACACAACTGAGCCAACAAGACTAGTTTATTCAACCCAACTCAATTGGCCTAACCCTGCTAGCCAACCTAGTCTAACTTTGTGTCTACATTATATATAACTTGTTTGCATAAGCCAGAGAAAGCCCTAGACAAGAATCCACAGGATTGCCAGGTAGCTGCAGGCTTGGAAGCCATGAATATCGATCTCACTGTTGATAGGAGGAGCGAAAAGACGAAACGCACTGTGCCCAAGAGTCATGATGTTTATCTCAAGCTTCCAGTTCAGCCATAAAGGTTTCTGGTGAAGGGGACAAAAGTAAACGCCTGTTCTAATTTTTAATCAATCTAGCAACAATGCTTTCAATTATTTGGCATCAAACATTGTTCAACTGTTTTAGTTTAAAAAAAATGAGAAAAAAAAAGGAAAAAGAAGGCTTATGTTAGTTGGCCTTATAATCAATTCTATTAAGCTTATTAAAGTGCCTAGAGTTCTTTAGACATGCAAAAATATCCTTTTAGAGCCAACAATAATGTCCTGAGAAAATTAACTGGACCCAAAGAAATTAAGATGCTTTCAATCCGAATCCAAAATTTTCTCATTCACTAATTTAAACCCTCAACTTAGCTCAATTTAACTCTTGGGTCCTTCAACAAGACTCTTCAACTATTTTGATAAATATCGTCAAGAGGACAAAAAAGTACATTCATATGAAATATAATAAATGCTAAGAATGTTATGAAGGCCTAAAATAAACAAAAAAAAAAAAAAAGTCTAAATCTGATTTGTCTTGATAAGTGTAAAATTATTTTGAATTTAACAAACTCTCAAAAATTCAAAAACTAAAACCCATACCTTGCACGCACACTCTCAAGCGGGTCTTTTTGCCTATAATAAAGTTATATAAATACCACAATTCAAGTTTAAACCTCCA